ACCTATATTTTTTTTTAAATAAGAAAAATTTCATTTATTAATATAATCTAATTAAATAATTTTATAAAAATAATATAGATTAAACTAGAATGCTAAAAAATAATAATAAAAGATTTTACAAAACTTAACTGTAATAAGCATATTATGTTCCTGTTTTAATGATTCTTGTAATTCTTTATCAATTGTTTTAGTCATAGTTGTTGAAAATGCTAATTTAAGTGCTTTAGCCTCAACAACCCAGAGAGTATACAAATGATCAATCTGCTTTTCACCAAAGTCTTTTTGCCAATCTTTAATAATATCAGCTTTAATATGTTGAGGTTTTAAACATTGTCTAAGAATAAAAGGCATCAACATAGCAAGCCTTAAGACATCAGAAAACATAAAGCTGTGCTGGTGCCTTAGTGGATTAGGCAACTGGTACCAGTAAATAGGCTTTTCAATGTTTTTCTAGCATGTTATAAATACTTCTTCGCCATTTGTATTAAATGTATTAAAAGTCACATCTAACAATATACGGGCCTTTCCTATAAAAAATTTGTATTAAGTTTGCCAAAATAATATTAAAAAATCCAAACAAATAAAGCCAAACTTTTTATAAAGCTTACCTGCCATTGAATGATAAATATCCTGAAGGGTTTGTATATAACAATCTCATTTTAATATATTTAGAGATCCAGAAGTTGTTGCTAGCCTATATAAAGTAGCCAATTGCTTTTTACTAGTCTTAGTTTGTTGATTTTTAATTTTTAGCAATTGACTTTCTGTTTGTTGCTGAAACCGTGCATGCTTAATATAGTTAAAGCTTGGATCAGTAAGTTGATTGCTTGAAACATTGCATGTTCTACAACCATGTAGTGCTCCATGTTGTTTTATACCTGCTAGGCTATTTCCTTGTGGTAAATCAGCAGTAACACATCCAATACCACTTATGATCCAAGCATCTCCATGTATTGTATGCATAATGAGCCCATTTTCTAAACGCTGTAGATCATCGAGCACTGGTTTAATAAAATCATTAAAATCAGTACTAAATGGAACCAAGCCAATAAGAAAATAGTTCTTAAGCAATTTCTGATTAGACTGCATCATATTACTGATTTGCATATATGTGCCTCCCAAGGAATGATAAGAATTTCTATATGTACCAAAATGATCTAAATAAATGTCTAAAAATATTTTTAGCATGGGCATTGGCCATGGTGGTGATTTAATTATAATATTTTCAAAAGGCAATCTATGCCTTTTGGAAATATCATGATACTTCCAGCAACTATTAAAGTTATAAACTATTTCTTTGATATAAAAATCATAGTTTTCAGTTTTTGGTAAATCACATAGCCAAATATTAATACGTTGGCTAATACTTTCTGGATCAATAAATATTGTATCCCCCTCAACAAGCTATAATTCTTTTCCATCTCCACGTGTATGGCGATTACTATCAGTCTAACAATTTGGAAGATTCTGATGCTTTAAGAGCTGGTCAACTTTTAGTTTATAAGCACCTATTTTATTGGTTACTATGCCATGTATGCGGCATATAAATACTGATAATGATTCTTTATATACAACAAATTCTTCTAAATTATAGATTTCTAATAAATTAAACTTTAAATTAATATACAAATAATTTAAAAAATAATATATATTATATTAGATA